TGGATTCAATGAATCATAGGAAAGTTAATTGTTTTGGGCACTGCTGTGAAACTGTTTTTCTTTTTTTTTCAACTACACCCGAGTAAAACATCTCGAANCCCATGTGTGCTTTACCTGTACCCAATACTCGCCTAGAGAGACAGTACCAAGTGAAGAGAGGCATTTTTTTTTTTTTTAGTTTGTAGTTTTAGGTGTTTTTGTTATTTTTTTTTTTTATTTATTATTTTTTTTTTGTTATCTACTGTGAATCTGTGTTTCTTACATTAGTACATACAACTGAAGAGTGTGTGCGCGCGCGCGGTAATTGTACATACGGACACGCAAGGGACTGAGGTGTGTTTTTTTTTTATCGTTACACTAGTTTGGGACGATTTTTTTTTTCTCCATCATTGACTAGTAGATAGCCGGAAGTGCCGAAAGATGACGAACCGGTGGTGCGAAGTGTTCCAGTGAACGGTAGAGAAAAAAAAAAAAAATAGAAAAGGTTTTTAGAGAAGAGCGAAGAAACGGAACGACACTTGAATCGAGTGCCCGGGAGGATCGAGCACCGGGTTATACGAGAAAGAGCTGATACATCGTACACCTCATTATGGTGAGTTCAGCGAGTTTATTTTTCACTTGGGTGATGGTGTCGTGAAATCGGGGATTCAAAGGGGGTGGCTGCAGTTTCTCTGCAATTTCTAGGAAAATTTTTGCAAACGGTTTGGTAGTCGTATCTAAGATTTTTTCAATTCATGAGTGAATAGACTTTGTTTTGAATTTTGAATTGACACTCGAGCGTATAATGGCGACATTGCAACATTTTATTGCAAATAGGATATAAATACAAGAGGGCATTGGTTTTATCGGCCGTTTAATGGATGTAGGCTGCTGGGAAAATAAACTTTGACGTGATTTATTTGATGGAACTGTTTCATAATCGAAGGAGTTCGAATTCGAGACTGGATTGAATAATTTTACAACTGGATTTTACAGCAATATTGGGTTGTACATTACATAATTAAAGGTAGTTTAGAGGATTTCTTGGAGTGCAAAAGTTTGTATCTTTTTTTAAAGGTATTACAAGTTTACCTGTCATCACAACAATGCCATAAAATTATTTTTATTCTTATAGCTCTAACAAATTAAAAATTTTCTTAGCAATAAAAACAACATACATACTAATACTTGCAAAGTTTTAACAATAGCTGATGGGTATACTTGTCTTGTTGTAATAATGGCTCTCTGTCCCCTTATTTTTCTCTGGGTATAGTTATGCTTCTCCGCACGAGGAGCATAACTATACCCTAATTAATAATTGACAAATTATTAATAATCATTCATTAATATTAATATTCAATAATATTAAATTTTTTTTCAAATTTTGGTTCGTAAAATTAATATATTTTGTCTTACAAACAAAATCACTTAAAATATAATAATGACCTCATAAAATCACAATATACTATCAATAGAAGAGTATAAGCTGCAAAATTCAGATAATAGAGGATAAAGATTAAAAATCGTGTTTAAATTTTTCGAGTATAGTCAGAAAAATTTCGAGCAAGTTATTTCCGAGATACCATCAAAGACGACGTCAAGACGATACTTGTCAACTCAACTATATTTTCTCAAGACCCAGACAACAACCATCACGAGAGAACGACATTTTACGGAAAGTCTCGTATATTGTTCCGTGACAACGTCAACGGCGCAAACAGGCATCACCAGTGTTCATTCACATCACGTATTCTCACAACTCGCCCCATTATTCTACCACTAGATGCCGTAATGACAGTCTATACCACAAAAAAAAAAAAAAAATTCGCAAACAAGGCCCAATTGACGCGTGGACAATCCGACACGAGCCGCTTGAAAAACTACGATCGGAATTTGTCACCGCAGGCGTATACGCAATGTATAGAGACACGCCAAAACAAAATCTATCACACACCACCAAGTCAGCCGGAACCACCACCACCACAATTTATTTTTTAAAAACTCGTACTACTCCCTCGAGTATACCTACGCACTCTCCTGTAATAATGGCTCTCTGTCCCCTTATTTTTCTCTGGGTATAGTTATGCTTCTCCGCACGAGGAGCAATAGCAACCAGCCAAGACGCGACTGGGTTTATTCATCACCCACGGGTTAACGAGCGGGTCGAAGATCTCGGTTGTCGCAAAGATGCATGAGCTACCCTGGAAAAATAAATACACCGCGCTTCGGTTTATCTGTCCCCGGGGAGCGGAGTATACCTATCGAAGCGTGCCCTGAAAAATGACCACGCGGTCGTGAGTTATGAAATTCAATGGCATTTTTTCACGCTTACGCGTTACAGGATGAAAAAAAAAGAATGGCGAGTGCCTTTTTTTTTCTTCTCCTTTTTATATAGGAGTAACGCGTGAACGAGGCGTGAGTAATCCAATTTCCTTTTCTTTTTTTCGACGCATACAGGAGCACTCATTGGGAAATAGTAAATACTTTTATTGAATTCAAGCGCGAAAGCGTTACCTACTTTTTCTCGCTATTAATTATGTTTCCTTGCGAGTCGATCGTGTTGCAATTGGCAATGGGGATCAAAAGACGCTGTTACGAGGTACGTCGATATTTGACGCGTGATTCGTGATACATCGGAAGAAACTCGTCCCTCTGGATGTTTGTGCGCTTGAAATTCGCACCAGAAACGCGCGAGGCATCGTTACATATGATATACAATAATTTATTCCCCCAAAACTTTCTCTACGATAATTGCAATTTTTGAAAGTCCCTCTCTCGCGTTACACGTATGCGAGTACACACGCTGGAAGCTGCTCCATTTAATTTGGAATTACAAGGCCGGAAAAAAAAGTTAACACGACGTCGGTGGTTCTCGTGTTGATAATTTGCATTTTTCACATTACAATAAATTTAAAACTGAGGGAAAATGAAACGGCTTGATTTTTTTCCCCCTTGGAAACGCGTGTTCGAAATAATCTATGCTATTTGATCATTTTCATCTCCACTTTGAATAATACAGTTTTTATGCTTCTTGTGCCAAAAAATATTTTTCTCGTCCATGATATTTTTTTTTTAAAGCTCCAGGATGATTACATCAAGTTGCTTGCATTTATTTAACAGTTTATTAAATGGTAATTTTTACCAAGTTCCAATAGGTAAAAATGACCAAGTGTATGGTAAAAACGGCTGTGTGAGCGATTAAAACGACTATTTGTTTATAATCGAATGCTTCGCAACCTGTACCTGTGTATATTTCCACCAATTGAGCCAATTTATATACACCTCCACCCTCCAACTTACCAAATTCGCATCATTTCTTGGCACCGACGACAACACCAATTTACTCGATCTCATCCATATATAATCACAACAACACCATAGTTTCTCGAATAGTGATGTTAACAACGTACAAGGCTCTCTCGACGCGTAAATTTATAATATGCACGCATGCAAATGCTCGCGTGTATAAAATAATATGATAATCATCGTATAACGCACATCGCGACGCGCGATCGTGGGTAAAACAAAACAGGCAGTCCGTCATCCCACATGAGCTCTTTTGTGGCATAACGTATATAACGTATATATTATGTACACAGACACGGCACGGTGAGACAATAGCTGATGGAGATTTCGATGGCAGCGTTGTTAAATGCCGTGTGGGACCGTGGGTGTTGCGTTCCCGGGAAAGTCTTATTACTCGCACGATACGCCTTGTCGATGAGACGAGGCTTCTTCATTTGGAAACTGTGCTGATGTATACGCTGGTGGATGATGGACTCGAGATTGACTTTTCGATGCTTGCTATTTTGGTTTAGTTCTGGAAGCTTTGTAAATCATAGATGGGTACGCCCATTTGATCAATCCTAGCGTAATACATTTGAGACAAACCTGATCGAGTATTTTCACACGGCTGGTTGCCGATTTGGCCATTCCTCCAAATACTGTCCACCCCCTCATTGCAGTCGCACAGAAACATCGTCCGCTCCCACGCGATCCTCAATAAATCACTTGATGGATCATTTCAGTCCATCCTGAAATTTTCAACTCTCCCTTGTGACGATTGACAAATCCCACCGGGAATATACGTATGCTGCCGAGGTGCAATTACCCCCCGATTCGCAATTAGTTGCGACCTTGAGTCACCGACCAGAGAGTCCCATTGATTATCCGGCAGGCAAGTGACAACGAGTTGAAAACAAAGGGACATCGACAAGCAAGTACACGGTGCGTCTTTTGATACACGGAGTACAAATCGGTATGTATGTACACAGAGAGATCGGCTATACGGGAAGAGGTAGTAGACTGTGGCGGAGGTACTGTCGCCCACGTGTGCGTGTGTGTGTTCACGCGCACCAACCCATAGACACGGAGAAGAGAGTCGCCGGCCGAGAACGAGGGGAGAGGCTTTCTCTCGGTGCACGCTCCGCGGCCCCCCGGGCTCGTTGTATTCGTGTACATGTGTACCCATACCGGGAGGGACCATCAGTGGGGGGGGGAGAACAGGGCCCCGCTGGAGGGGGGCCCTATATAGAGTCCGAGCCGGTGCTGGAGCTCCGGCAAACACAGCCGGACGCCCCCCATGTGTGCTTTACCTGTACCCAATACTCGCCTAGAGAGACAGTACCAAGTGAAGAGAGGCATTTTTTTTTTTTTTAGTTTGTAGTTTTAGGTGTTTTTGTTATTTTTTTTTTTTATTTATTATTTTTTTTTTGTTATCTACTGTGAATCTGTGTTTCTTACATTAGTACATACAACTGAAGAGTGTGTGCGCGCGCGCGGTAATTGTACATACGGACACGCAAGGGACTGAGGTGTGTTTTTTTTTTATCGTTACACTAGTTTGGGACGATTTTTTTTTTCTCCATCATTGACTAGTAGATAGCCGGAAGTGCCGAAAGATGACGAACCGGTGGTGCGAAGTGTTCCAGTGAACGGTAGAGAAAAAAAAAAAAAAAAATAGAAAAGGTTTTTAGAGAAGAGCGAAGAAACGGAACGACACTTGAATCGAGTGCCCGGGAGGATCGAGCACCGGGTTATACGAGAAAGAGCTGATACATCGTACACCTCATTATGGTGAGTTCAGCGAGTTTATTTTTCACTTGGGTGATGGTGTCGTGAAATCGGGGATTCAAAGGGGGTGGCTGCAGTTTCTCTGCAATTTCTAGGAAAATTTTTGCAAACGGTTTGGTAGTCGTATCTAAGATTTTTTCAATTCATGAGTGAATAGACTTTGTTTTGAATTTTGAATTGACACTCGAGCGTATAATGGCGACATTGCAACATTTTATTGCAAATAGGATATAAATACAAGAGGGCATTGGTTTTATCGGCCGTTTAATGGATGTAGGCTGCTGGGAAAATAAACTTTGACGTGATTTATTTGATGGAACTGTTTCATAATCGAAGGAGTTCGAATTCGAGACTGGATTGAATAATTTTACAACTGGATTTTACAGCAATATTGGGTTGTACATTACATAATTAAAGGTAGTTTAGAGGATTTCTTGGAGTGCAAAAGTTTGTATCTTTTTTTAAAGGTATTACAAGTTTACCTGTCATCACAACAATGCCATAAAATTATTTTTATTCTTATAGCTCTAACAAATTAAAAATTTTCTTAGCAATAAAAACAACATACATACTAATACTTGCAAAGTTTTAACAATAGCTGATGGGTATACTTGTCTTGTTAATAAAGAAAAAAAAAAAAAAAAAAATCATGACTATAAGAGATTAAACGGGTCTGATGAAAGTTGCTTGTATTAAAACAGTATTTAAATTCTTTCAAAATTTTACTTCTTGAATTCTTAAGTCACTCTCTGGAAGCCTGTGAGATATTTGTTACCATTTAATGTCTACACTCTGTTTATGATTTTTAAAACATCGGTATTAATTAAGGGAGAAAAAAATGTAATTCAAAAATGAAGAACGTAAGAGCTTTAAGAGAATTTATTTTTTTACCATTAACGAGGAAAATATTTAGCAACTGTAGCATAGCATCCTGTTGTTACTTCAATTTCAGGGTATGAAAATCACTGATACTTTTTTAAATCACACATTTTTACCGTCCATTCAAAAATACATCGAAAAAGAAACAAAAAAACAAAACAAAAAAAAAAAAAAACAAAAATCCCAAACCTTACATAAAACCAAGAATGCACTAGTTTGACCGCACTGATCCGATTTCTAATTGCGCTCGCACGGAAAACCCTCGATTTTCCACCCATTGCGTAAACGCAGAATTCCACAGATCTCCTTCCTGCACTCCCCAAACGTGGACTCGCAAACGACACGCGTCAATCAGCATCGTTTTATCAATTACATAAAATCCGCGCTCCTGCGTACAGGGTTAAAAATCCACTTTCACGTTTATTAGGAAGTCTCTCCGTACACCGCTAATTTCCTGCAATTGACAAAGTTCGTTGCGCAAGTCCCGTGGATGTTTATTTTTCGTAATTAATTAGATCACGCGGAAAAGAAATCACTACTGGATTTTTCGATAAATCGAACGCGTACTAGCAAGGGTAAACAAAAATATTTGCGCGAAAGCCGCGGGTGAACGCCCGAGATCGCAATGAATTTTAATATACACGCGCATAAATCGATAACACCCTGCAAATATGTACTCGCGAGTGACATGCAACGAGTGGATTAATTATACAAAAACGGGGCTGGTATGGTATACGTAAATTGTTTTCTCTCGGTTTTTCGATCTGAGCGCGTTGGAGAAAAAAAAAAGTGTCGATTACGTCACTCGAGTAACGCAGTCCTGTCCCCGTTAAAGAGACACGTACGTTAAAAACCAGAGGAGGGTAAAAAGAGGCGATTTGCAACGCGGCCACCTAATTACAAGTTGTCTCATTAGCGATTGCCTAAGAGGATATTTTTACGGTAGATTACAACAACGGCGTGCCACTGGACTCGTGTGTGTATGAAAGAAAAGCGCTGCTGTGATGAAAAAAATCTCCCGCGCACACGCGGCGTTATTGAATAGTGTCGCGAGATATGAGGAAAATGATAGGTTACCTGTAATTTTGTGTGTTCTGTGGATAAGTTGATTGATGGTTTTGTTTTGCATACGAGGGGATATTGCGCTGATGACTGGGAAAACCTCTTTTTGTGAATGTCTTGGGTGGTTTTTTTTGCCGGATTTTTCGTAGAGTAGGGCTTTGACGGGGTGAATTGTCATAGTTCATTGTCGAATTCAGACTTGTGAGATTTTGAAATGATATTTTTTCTCCAAAATATGGGACATTGTTTTCGATGGAAAAATTATGTCGAAAGCAGTGTCGTAAGTAAAAATTAAAAAATTTATCAGGACAAATGGTGCATTATTACGTTTTTAAGGAAAGCTTAAGGTTGGAAGAATTTAAAAAAGTATGAATTCCTACGTCTGTTTCCCGTGAATATTTGAACATTAAAAAACGAGGAAATATTCGCAAAAAGTTAATTAATTGTGTCTAGTTTACTGATTTTATTCTGAACACTGATTCACTAAGAAAATCTGGAAAAAAAAAATTTTAATAATATAATCGTATTTCTTACAACAAAAAAAAAAAAATTTGTATGAAATATTTAATGAACGAAATATTTTTTGAAAGTTTACTTCTAGTAGTATTTGTAACGAATTATTATAAAAATGAGTTTGAAAAATTAACATTTTATAAACCCACAACAAGTACATGTTTCAGATGTTGAAAAAAAATTTATTACTTATGATACAGTTTTTCAAAATTATCTCCAGATGATACTTGATTAAATTAAATTCTTACAACATAGCCTTCTTGTCTTCAATGATTAAAAAAATTTTGTTTCATCATAAATTTGGTTGAGTACTGTAAACAATAATTTATTGAAATAAGTATGTTTTTGCTCTATTTATTCGAAAAAATACAGGCAAATTGTGACAACTGACAATTTATTGAAAATTAATTTCCTAAAACGCCAGTGGTTCGGTGCACAATCAAATCAAAACTTCAACTATCATATATTTGCACGAAAAAGCGCGAGTCCCGAAAAATTTTCCGGAAGTGATCGCCAAGGTTAGTATATTTTTCAAATAAATAAAAAGTCGGGGGTTGCCAGTGTACATAGAACACAAACACACCTCCACGAGTGGAAAAAAGCTATTTTTTACAGTTCAATTTATTTCACCGAGTCCTTTCCGTCCTGGCGTCCCGGTTTTATCGCTCACCGCCAGTCTCCCTCTTTCTCTTTCGTGCTAGTCCGTACGAGCCACAGCACTCGAATCGACCCCGATCTTTTACGATGCGAGACGCGCGGAAACGTTGATAATCATTTCCAGCAATAAAATTTATTCAACACTCGCGTTTGGAGGAAGTGTGTTTTTCATGAAAGCTAAAAGACTTGTTCACGACCTTTTTTTTCGGGACAATATTCATCAAATGGATGCAAACTGACTTTCCACAACTTTATTAAAATATGTGTGCTAAAAAGATTTTTTTCAAAATTTTTAAAGTTTTATCCATTACAAATGGTACCAAGTTTTGATGACATTGGGCATAGACATATTTTAAAATTAATTTTTAAGAATTATCACAATTTGACTGCTGCAACATCGGTTTTTTTTCTAAAAATTGGATGCTATTTGTGCTAGAACGTTATTGTTTTCTTACTAATTAAAATACGGTACTTACGAATATGTTTTCAACGAAAATAATGAAGTATATTTTGGAAGAGAAAATTTTTTTTTTTAAAGTATTAAAGTGTATGTTTAAAAAAAAAGTTACGCAATCATTTTAGATGTCTAATTAAATTAGTTTATACCGTAAGTTATTATTTTCTTCAAAGAATTTTATTTTCCATGTCAGAAGTGATAATAAAAAAAAAAAAAAATTTCAACACACTGCGATTATAAAATGGTATTTATTAAAGAAGTTTATTCACAAGTCCGAATCCAAACATTTTTTTTTGAAAAATTCTAAGTGAAAGTAAGTCTTTGATTAGGAATGATTAATTTACCAGCTTGTATCTAATAGTCACCTATCCTACACATTTATAGGTTTATTAGCAAGAGCAAATGATAAATTACATCTATCAATCATAGTCATAGTACGTGTGTTTTTGCGTTCCAAAAGCCCGAGATATCATCATTTGTTTTAATGAATAATGTTCCAAGCACGAGACACTGTTGTTATTGCTTATTATGACATTTTTTTTAACAAAAAATTTCCTTTTTTAATTATAATTTTGAAGAGAACAGTCGAAGTCTTTAGGTAAAGCTGATAATAGTGCAATGATTAGTAGAAAAACCTATTACAGTATAGTATAACAAATTATAAGTAGAAGTGGTATACATGTTTGTACGTGAGTGGGTCCATCAAAGAAACCTAGATCGTTCGTTATTTTACCTTGAGAATACCACATGTACCAACAAACATTACAAGCAACATACGGTTTCGCAAGTGCAACACTAAATTACTGTCCAAAAAAATTTCTCTGCAATGTATGATGACTATTATAAATCAAAAGTTTTCTTTCAACGCTTGGATGAGAAAAGACTGACAGAGCGTTTATTTAACATGCCATTCTTTCTCTTTATCTAAATTTCTCAAGCGTCATGAAAAAGTACTCTCTATATTTTTTAAAGTTGAAAAATTACTGTTTACAGTCATGAGCATACAACCAAGAAAATAGTGATAATATGCCGCTTTTGATTGACAAAACAATTTCTCTCTCGTAAAAATACAACTTTATAAAGTAATATAGAGATCATTCATCAAGTGACATTATAATACACGAGATTTTATCTAATTGTTATAGTGTTTCTTTATCGTACAACATAAACAATACTTTAGCAGTATCAAAAATAAAATTTAAATAATATCTTAGAGGATAGCATTAAATCATATTAAACAACACAAGAAGCTGGGCATTAAATTAAATAATATTGAGTATATGAGTTAGTTCTATTATTCTAAGAGATATAAAATTCACCTAATTAATATGTCTTACATCGCAGATGTGGTTAATCCAAGTGAGGTACTATTTTTTAAATCCTGTTTGTATCGTAAGCCACTAAAAAGAACATTCTTCAGCGATAAGAATAAATT